ATAGTTTCTAACCATTATTTTATTTATTGTTCGACGTACCTATTTTGACCTTGTCACTTCGTTTATTTGAAGATGACTTACATCACGGATTGATCCTAACTGAAGAGATATTAAGAACGAAGGAGCGCCAGATAGATGTTTTATCTTCAGATGTAACTAATCAGTACTTTACACTATTAACGCCTCCCGAGGTTGAACCTAGAACTCACAGGTATCTCACTGGACTCATTACTTTGAGACCATTGAGTTGGTGATAGTTGTCCACATTTCTAACTTCACTTAGTTTGTGGGACCTAACCCGACCATCATTCATTCTCATTGGTCATTACAGGTCTTACTCGTGAGATAGGTGAATATCATCTACCATTGTTACTCCTAATAGGATGTTTGAAAATTCATCTCATGGTTGTTTTGGTAGACAGATTTTTAAAATCTTGATATGCGAATCTGAGTTACTGTGACATTGTTGATAATATTTATCGATACATTTATTCTTCAATCTGTGTCATTTTCCCCATAAAATAACTCTTGTTTTGTTATTCATTTTAGGTTAGTCATATTGAATGCGTAACTAAAGGTGAAGCACTTGATTTTGTCGAAGATGATCAGACACATGGATAATTTTTACATGAATGACAGTGATCATAACCTTTGTGTTTCATGTATACACTGCTTATTTTTCTGTCATCTTCAAGCATATGTAGTGGATATTTATCTACCTGTCTTGTATATATCGTCGTCATCATCAAAAACAGATAAGTAAATTCCTTAATACTCATGAAAATGAGCAAACTAACAATTATGACGTTGTTTTGTTAATATTGGCATTTAACGGAACTTCTCCGTAAAAAGTAACAACCAATTACAGTTGATTGTATATTACCCATTTGATCGTTTTTATAATATTTCCACGTAATAAATACACACAACATCTCATAAACTAATTAATTATTCCCATCTCTTTGCGTTTGTCTATTCTATTCATCTTGTTCCTGTACTACACTTTGCATTTATTTTTTGTTAAACATTATTCTGATATTTGTTGGTTTGTTTTTACTCACATAAAATATTTTGTATACCCTATAAATAATAATATTTTGATAATGAATTTTTAGTTATTGTTTTGACTAGTTTCTAGTTAGTTTTAGTCAGTGAAATAGTGCTGTAAATTTTTCAAAGACTTGACTGACTACTACTTCCACTTTGACAGATTAGTAGTATTAATAGTCATCACTAAGTAAATGTTATCTAAAATCATATGCAGAAATCTGTACTTGATAAGAGGTGCTTGTATTCGAAATTTCAGTAAAGTAATTCAAATTCTTGTTCTCTATTTTTATTCCTAACGATTTTATGCGCTTCGAACTATATGATGGTGATATTCCGTTGTTTGGTTAACTACATAGTCTTTAAATGGCATTATCTTGTTAAGCTCAACATCAATATGTGCTACTAGGCTGTAAAGATTCATTTTCATTGAGAAATAACTGGAGAGAAAAATCATGTCACTCTGTTAAATTCACAAACACTTCAAGTGACTAAAACTTGACTAAAGATAAATTGTCTACAATCGGTGAGGTAACTTCTAGACCAAGTGTATTCGACGGATCTTGTGTTGTGATATTAATTGCAGGTTCGAAAATCTAGGTTGAATGTTGTAACACCAGAAGTTTTATTAGGCAGTAACCATGGGCTAAATACAACAGGTTTTAGAACACCTTTTCCACAGTTGAATCATTATACTTATGTAAAACCATATAAACCCGTGATAATGTGGATAAGTACTATTGAATTCAAATGGTGACGTTGGGTTCAATGGTATGTATTGAATCTTATTGCTCATGAGAAAAAGGCGAAATATTTTTTGAGTTCGTCCTAATTTTTATTATCGTAAAATTTAGTATGTAGATTAGTTGCTTTGTTTCTGTTAACATTTTTAAGGTTGAGCCTAGTTTTTAAAACAAAATCAACTAATCTTTTAAGAGGATTAAATTCCCAGCAATATTATATATTCAAATAGTTAAAATAAGGATTATACATTGTCGGAACTTGACTATTTTAATTGATCTTGTTGGTGGGGAAATCTCAGGATGGAAAAATCGATATTTAACACTGAAAATTCATTTCATTGAAGTATGAACAATTCAAACAAACGTACAAGCGAGAGCGAAATCGTTTCCATTTAGATCATTATCTTGCCCTACTTTATTCTATAATTATGCTTAAACATATAATAGGACGAAACAGCTAGTTGGTTTTCAATAGTTGTCAAACCAAAGTCTGTCCATGAATTGCAATCAAACAACTATGTACGACATTCAAATATTACTTAGAATTACTTTTGACGACAACGTAGCTTTGGGGAACAAACGATGTCAATCAAATATAATACGAAACAATGTATTTTTGTAGAAAAAACCAACAACTTAGTTTTCGTTGTCCATAAAATTTTTATTATCTGATTGTTGTTTTCTATGCATATTGATCATAAGAAAATGAGATAATAATCATGAAAAGAAAGACAAAAATATCAGGCAAACTGATCTCAATCATGCATATATATATGATATAACAATTATAGTAGCAGTATAAAAAATATATAGGAAACTGACAATATATTAAAAAGAAAACAGCACAAATAAATTCAAAACGAATATGAATAACTAGAAATAAGTAGATAGAAAATTATATATCATCTAAAGATGTATAAACTCAATTCAGTAACATAGAGCACATCGGAAAATAGTCACAGTTCAAGAGTATAAACAAATTGAGAAAAAAAAGATCAAATAAACAGATCTTATTGATTATTTCAATGGTTAAGATCATGAGTCAGTTGAAGCTAGACCATCATGGAAAACCTGGAAGCACTGGACGAAACGGCCATCCAGTGCATTCAGGTTTTCCATGGTGGTCTACTTTCAACTGACTCATGATCTTAACCATTGAGATTACAACAATCTCCACAAAAAAACCCATCTGATTATTTGTTTACTTACAACAAGGTAATTTAAACAAATAGATAAAGAGAAGTATCTTCTTTTTTTTCAAGTAATAATTCACTAAGTAGATAAATGAAGAAGATGTAAAACAAACATCTCTATGTGTATATACATATACAATTAATCAGTTAGATAAGTTTAAAATAAAATAAATGATGAATAGATCATTCTTAATTGTTTCCATTGATATTTTTCATTTTCATCATCATCATCATTATTATTAAACATGAATAATTCACGACGTATATGATTCAATTGAATAAGTGAATAGATTTGTTTACGTTCTAATTTTATAGTTAATTTTGGACTTTTAAACAAATCAATCTCTGGTAAATAGACGTGCTGTAGTAATTCGTATAGATCATTATCTTTATAAATAACTGATTGATCCATAGACGGAGTTGTAATGTTGGAAGATGAAATCATAGAAGGACTAATGGTATTATTATTATTATTATTACTATTAATATATTCAGAGTATAATATACATTTCATAATATTTGTTTGAGTATAATCTTTAAATAAATGTTTTAATCTTTCATAGACAATATTATTAGTAAGGTAATCAAATGAGATTATTTGATCATTACCATTATTATCATATTGTTCAGTACAAGTATCATTAATATTTCCAATACTACCACCTTTAAATCTAATTCCATATAATAATTGTTCTAAAGTAACAGATTCTAGATTCAATTGTTTTTCATTTGTGGTTAGATTCATTTCATGCATAAATACTTGTGGTACAACGTTTGCGACTATTATTGACTCACTTTCACTGTCTTCAACATTTGGAAACCGATTTAATTCCAATGAAATTTTAGATTTCTACAAAAACAAGTTGAAATATAACAAATCAGCTTTATATTTGATTATAGTGTTTCACATTACTTATACGTACATTGAAATAAATGAGTAAATAAGTAAGGACCCGACATTGATCATAATCCAGTTAACTAAATTGGACACTACTAGCTGAAGGTAGTAAATCAAACTTCACAACCAGATCACAGCATGATATAACATGAAGCTACTTTCCTAGTTTAGATAATCAGTTTGAAAGTTCCACGTTCATCAACCTCTGTTTACAATCAAATATAATTTACCACTCAATCATTATCGCTTTCTTCATTGTTTCTCCTTTAGCAAATTTGCTGAAGAACACTTAAAACCGGCATTTCCTGGTTGTATTGTGTCCAATGTATCATCATAGGTGAACACGACGTGATTTGGTAATCATAAATTTGTTCCTTGATTTCAACTGAATATTTTTTATAGATTTATTTTACTTTCTATGCTCTCTTGTTTTCATATAGATATATTTCTAATCTCATCATGACAAAACACACTCTTAAATTAATTCGACTAAAAACTCTGATGTTTCTAGCACCATATCTGATTCTACATAGTAACAGCTTTCATTATGTGTTTTTAAATTATTTTTAGCAATATCACTGTGTTTAAACTGAAAACTATAATAACCAATTTTTAAGTAGTCATTTTAAAATGCAATGAAATCCAAGGTAATTCTGTGCAATCAAGTCGGTTCTAAATCAATGGCCTGTGAAAAAATATTATTCCATAGTTAAATGGCTAAAGTAAGTAGGTAAAGAGTTGTAGACCGAATTTAATTGGAAGTTTCCACTTATGAATAAAAAGTGATTAGAAAAGCTCTATTGAAATGTCACTGAGTATGACGTTGGATAACTTGTAGATCCACGTACATTATTGATGACTGTTAAGAAGTTAAAAAATCAACCATAGAGCTCCTTCAGCAATACTGTCTAGAAGCAGATGAGTAATTTGCAAATAATTGACTGCTAAATAGTGACCAATTTCATGTTTGTCTAGTCCTTTCATTGTTGATCAATTCGCAATGTAGCTAGTAATCTAAGTAACTCGACATCAAGTGGATAATGTTGAGATGTTAGGTGATTAAAGGTAGTTAACTGGAAACTGTGGATCTAGGTTTCGTACTGGTTGGCATTCGTGTGCAATGTGCAACTCAATCTTCAAAAAATTAATGTTTAGTCTAAATAGTGCTGATGATTATTTATTAATAGCGAGAAGGAACAATGTTGAATATATAATAAAACTCACATTCATAGCTCGATATGATTCTCGCACTAATTTTTTTCGTGGTTTGTACAACATTTTTGATTGTTGCTCTTGACGAAAATGACTGCCTGATAAATCGTTGAAAGATGTTGATGATAATGTTAGTAATACTGGAATTTCCTTACATAAATCAGGTTCTGATTGTGAATATTGTTTGTAGTGTGCTCCTGATGCTGTGGACGATTTAAATAGCTGTGATGCCATAATTTGTTTTCGCGTAAATGACTCATTTATATTATGATGAATTGATTGTCTAAACCTAGGAAATGTCGACTCTTGATAAAACATTGAAAGTCTGTTCTTTGATTGGTTATCTTCGGATGCTGGATCGTCATCAGTTAATTCAATATCGGTCTCATCGTCAATACAATCACTATTATCAGTGTCTTCAGTTTCTTCATCTATTTCATCATCATCATCTTCGTCTTCATGATCATCATCTTTATTGTATATATCATTTTTGTTATGTTTTAACTTGAACTTTGGTGAACAGAGTCCTCTACAATCTGGTAGTAAAAAAGAAAAAAAAAACACTTCATGAATATAAGATGAGAAATAATCTTCAAACTAAGTCAAACTAGAGAGCACTGAACAGTTGTTTTGACCTGGATTTGGAACATTTCAGCAATCTATAACTATAGAAGGGAGAGAATTACTTATAAACCATAATGTCGGAATTCTATGGTCAACAAAAATTTAACTTCAGTCAAATCACGATGTAACACAATGATTATCTAGTTATCTCTTACTTAGAACATGATTTAACTGAATCCAGTCATGATTGTTTACTAAAACTTCGGTAATTCAAACTAGCTTAATCCAGTCAAATTTGCTTTAAAGTATAAAATGACAAAAAAGGTAAACAGTTGTTTGACTATATCTATTGAAGTGATCAATATATATCCTATAATTATCAAGACTGACACTGCTGAATAACCTATGTGACTCGTAACAACTGGTGATAAGACTGGAAGAAAATATATAGATCTTGATAAAATTTGAGCTGTTTACTTAGAGCAACAATTGGCATTATTGTAACAAAAATAAAGATTACATCAAGTACATACTCATGTTTTTCTCTTTAATTCTTGTATGATAGCTGACATATAATTCCAGTGATATTAAAATTTATTTTAATGATCAATTGTTCTATCTTTATATATTGAATTTATTCAAGAGACTGGTTTCACTGATTAGTGATAGTGTTTTTTATGAGCAGTTGTTGCTTACCAGCTACTTAATAAATTTTATGTAATCTAATTTAAACAAACTAAATCGTGACTATAATTTCAGTAAATTTTAATATAGTTCAATAATGTTTATTAAGTTGTTGTATAGTTGAAGTAATAATATACAAAGAGTATCCATTGTGTTTAAGTATAATCATTATTTTCTTTACCTATAGTCTCTGAAATCGATTCATCTCTGACTTGTTTCGTATTGTTAACATTTTCCGGAACTATTGGTACTTCATTTCCACCTTGCTCATATGTTGATCTCATATTTCGACCAAAATTAAATGGTAACTTGGGAAGCTACAAAATATATAATAAGATGATAGATAGATAGATTAAATAAACAAGTTTCTTTCAAAATAGAGAATTCTCTTCAGCCGCTTACAACCGTGAAACAAAAGTAATCATCAATAACAATTTAAAAAAGTATAGATATGTTATATTAAAGATAGTAATTGTGAAATAAAAAAAACTACTCAAGTGGTTATTTATTCATAGGTTCACGCTAAAATCTGAAAATCTTTCAAGATAATCAATGAAATGAAAAAAGTACTGTGGTGTGTGCTACTGGTGTTGATAGATAAAAGTAGTATGTGTAACCAATCGAAAGTGGGATGCCTGGTGGTAGAAGGTTGAGGAAATCAAAAAGAGAACGAGAACAGAGAGTGATTGGTATGGAAACGAAGTCTAAGACAATTGATGGATATTTTGCTAATGAAATATTTACTGTATGGCTCTCACATTTTATCAAGACATTCTGTAATGTTGTATTGTAGTACATTTGGTTGTCCCCACCAGTGTTCTCGTTCAATACAACACATCAGATTTATTCCACTTTTCTGAATATATATCCCTATGAAAATATTGATATAAAATTTAAGTACCAAAAAAAACCAGTTATTAATCTTGTTTTTTCCTATTGATTTTAGTTTCAAAGGTTTATTGCGTGACAGTTTTTGTTTCTATGATCTTAATTTATGCTACTAAGTTGAGTAATAACTTAGTCAACTTTTTAAGTGATTACACAAACTATGACGTAATCATCTCATTTTTTATGAGTTCCGTTCCCATGGCATTTCCAGTTTTATTTTCTAGGATATTAGTATATTTGACTGACTAATCAAGTCATTTAAATACCTTTTTTAATCCTTTCACAACTACTGTCTTTTATGAATTTATATGTATATATCAAACTTAATTTTTAATCAAGAATTTTCTTATGTAAAATAACTGCGCTTATTTTGTTTTTGTTAATGACTCCAATGATTTCTGGTCTGTAAGCAACTAAAGAGAAACCAAGATAATAAATGAATTCAAATTATTCTGTTATAGTTGTTGATCTTGTTTTATTCAGAATTTATGAATTAGAAAAATGGACATGAAAAATGAAGAGTTCCAATCAAGTAACACTTCAAGTGGATATGGACAGTCACCTAAAAACGAGTATCCGTTAAACGCTATGAGGATAATAAAGTAAGGTTTATTAGTGTATATATTTCATATTATACAAGATTCATATATAGAATGTATGAATACACAATATAACAAAATATATATATGTATCTTATGCTATAGCAAATTGTAAACATGATTCGCAATAGTACTGTAATGAACGAACACTCAGGTGGGGACAACCAATGTATTTTTAATACAAAATTACAGAGTATCTTGGTAAAATATGAGAACCATACGTCTGTTGACATAAGTAGCATACACTACAGTATTAATCTCAAAGTTTTTCTTTAAATTTATGAAACAAATGTAATAGTAACGTCTCAGTTAAACGTAAAACTATGCATGAGGAAAACTCTAATAAATTAATTTCCTTATATTTCATTCATTTTTATACTAACATAATTGTGTCATTTTTGATCGATTCCTATTCTCATTTGCATTTAATATTCCACTATGAAGATAACCTTTAACTCCATCCAAATTCCTTCAAGGGTCATTACCGATCCCAAGACTGGGTAAAGGAGAAGGCTTGAGCATTGAGTTAGAAACCTCCAGCCTGTAAAATGAAACCTTGATAAAAAGGCGTTAATTTAGACGAACTATTAGTCTTCCAAATTTCATTTAATTCTTTGTTGATCTGATGACTTCGTTTATTTAGTTATTTCATCCACTAATATTAATGATAACCAAAGAATTTCACTCATTATAAAGTTGTATACTCATAAATTAACCTGTCAACACATCAATTATTTCATATGAATATACGATTACACGAATTTTAAAAAAATAAAATGATTGTAAAAATCTATTTTCACTGAATGATTTAGTTGGGCAAATGAAATTTACCTTAATTTGTTTTAATCTTTGTTTAATTAAGTTTCCATTAAGTTTTGAAAATGATATTTGGTTTTTATCATTTGTATTGATATTTGAATTGACTACTGTTATGCCATGAGTATCTGGTACTGAATTATGAATTGAACTTGTTCTAGACATTCGATGTCTACCACGTAGACTAGTTTGAGATTCTCGTCGTCTACCCATTGCACGTAAACCAGATCCAAGTGTCTGTAAATCAACTGGAGGTTGATATGCTTTGGGTAAATTAGCCTGACGTAAACGTTGCAATTTGATTGGCGGTTTTGTTTCAATCAACTCTAAATTATTACCTAATAAAAAGAAAATGAAAGGGAAATAGGGGAAGTCAGAGAGGTATGGGACAAAAAAATCAAACATTTTATTCACTTTTGACGGAATGGTTTTAAGGAGGGCAGTTTAATTTGTAGACAGTGTTCGATACGAATCAACCTTATTTAGGATATCATTGGAAATCTAGAGCAATGGGCAGCTATCTTGACATGGTATAAGACTCCTTTTTAGTGGGTGCCCAAAAAACAGAACATTTGTGGTAAGAAAGGATAGAGTTTAGTTTGTATGTACGATAATAGTGTAAAATGTGAATAATATCAGACATGGTAGCTTAGATAGATAGTTTCTTTGTACTACTTAAACTTGGGTTAGTTTTAATTTGGTTATTTATTCTCTGAAGAAGTGGCTTACACTGAGTCACGAAACGTCAGAAAATCTGATTTTTCTGCTCATTGGAATATTACAAATATATTAATTTATTTATAATGATCTACACAATGCTCAATTTATTCGAAATTATCAAGTCACACCTTGGTAATGATACCTACAATGATTTGAGTAGAATAAAATGAATCCATTTTATTTCATTAGGTTCTTGTCGACTACTAATAGCCTATAATAAGTTAACATCAAACTTCTGCATAGAAGTAAATGTGCTTATACAATATAATAATTATTTTGCTCAAATATTTGTGATACTATCTCCGTCTAGAGCCCTTCTAAGGTTACTGCCAGTCCAAAGGCGAGATAAAAAAGTGGAGGTTTGGGGATAGAGTTCATAATCCCATCCTGTGTTTTAAGCGTAGAAAAAGCAATAGCGAACAGAATTCTGTACATAAACGTATACATAAAAGAGTTAATTATTTGGAACCTTAAATTCTCATAGCGTTCACCCACCATTGAGATCACAATCATAATAATAATTAACTGTCTCGGCCACATCAAACATGTTTATTCTTTAAAAAACATTTCGACATGACAAAACATCAAATAGAAGAAATGAAGTGATAATATTCAAGAGAAATAGAGATTAATTTAAAAAATAGACAAAAGAATTTCTTGACCCTTAAAAATATTATTTTACTTCGTTACTGAAATATTTCTATTCTGATCATTGCTATTATTAGTATCAATTTTAGTTCGAAATACTTTTATATTTTTCATATGGTTTATTAAGGATTCATGTATTTTGTTGTCTATAGAACCATACTCTTTTTCTACTCCATACCCATGTGAGTCTTTTCAGTTTATTTATTTATTTAAACTTAAACACTGGTATACAAGGAAGTACCAAATAGATATGTGTCACATAAATCATTCGATTTGTGTGAGGGCTGGGATATTGCCCGGGTGCCCAAACCGAAGCAGTTAGTTTTCCTAGGGAGGTCATTCCCCAGGCATTTAACTTAAATGCCTGATCCACAAGGCAGTGGAGTAACGTCAAGAAATGCAGTCACATGGTAGCTGGTGACCAACAATTGGTTCACACGTCATTTGTTCCTTCAGGACTCTCCGCGTCCACCAACCCCACTTAAAGAGACGGATATTCGCTTTTTGTCCTCTCGATTTCGTAAACAACAGCAATGCCACAAGAAAACAGTAAGTAGAACTTCGCTGGCAGTGGTTGTATGCACGTGGTCATGTGAGAGCATTTCGAGAGGGAGAGCTGACTCTCCACACTCTCGGCCGTACCAGGGCATTTGGGGGTAGTTTTTCCAGTATACTATGATGAGGGTCTTTCTAAAAAAAAACCTAGTGAACTTGGGAACTAAGTATTTGAAACAGCATCATCAAGTAGTTTGATAGCACGGAAAATGGTATTAGAATCATCGTTGATTTCGTTTAAGATGTCAGAAACTTACCAGTTTACTTTACATGATTGTATGATTCTCAACTCATATTGTAAATATTTTCGAACATTGATTACAATTTTGTGACTTATGGTAAGTCATGATCAAGGAAAACTTTATAAACTGGTAAGAAAGTCCTCACTTCTTTATTTTTTCTATTGTCCTAAATACGATTTAATTAGTGTATCGGCTTCCGAGAATAATGTTTAGTTTCCGTCGGTTAAAAACTTTATTTTATGTGTAAAGATTATCAAAATTGACAGTTAAAATCAGAGACATCATCACTAGTCTATTTAGGCCGGAAGTCAACTCATGAATAACTGAACGGAGTGGGAAAAAAACGGATAAGGGATATCATATGAAATCGCTGAATACAGCAGAAAAAAGTATACTACTTGCCGGCGGAATGAAGTGATATAATGATTGTTGACGCTACGACTCTTAGTGCTTGTAATGTTTCATCACCCGGTGGAACAGGAACTAAAACTTTGTTGAAAAGTCTTGTATCCGGTTGAAGAAATTCAAGAAAATGATACGTAGTCTTGGGTATTTTAATTGCCTGTTTGAAATTACGAATTCCAGAGCTATTGTTATCACGGGCAACAGTAGCAGCACAACCCCCACTACTTACATCTCTTTCATGTTCTGAGCAACGCCCTTCTGAATTTGAACGACCGGTTGGAAGTATCGACTTGAGTTGACCAGTGTTTATTTTATTTTCATTACCGATGAAACTCGTAGTGGAGACATGAGCAATACGACCAAATAAAACATCTGCTCGAGACATCCGGTCAATGTGACTCGAATTCTGTAGAGTTATACGATAAAGAAACGAAATCTAACAATTACATTTTATATCTAGGTGAAAATCAATATAACATAGAATAAGTAAGTGTGAATTTGTACTATATCTTATTCTCAATGTTTAGTATATGTGGAGAGTAACCAGCACTTTTCTGTTCATCTAATGAGTAAATGCCTCTTATAAGAGCATAACTTTAACTGATGCTTGCCTTTCAAGTTCTAACCTTCGCTTTATTTGCTTTTTTCATTCATAATTTACAGTAACCTGCAGTGGCATGTTCAGAGAACATATCTATCATTAACTTAAGATGATTAAAATGAAGTATTCAGTCAAACTTGAACTCTAATACGAAGCGATAACACACTAGACAAACGAAGAAATTATAATAATTGAATTCAAGAGTCGATGAAACCTAGATCACCATTGAGAACCAGGAAGTACTGAACGGCCGTTTCTTCCTAGTATGGGACTCCTCAGCAGCACGCAGGATTCGAACGAAGGACCTAGGGTCTCGCACGCGAATGTTTACCCTCTAGACCATTGAGTCGGTAAGTAATCGGGTTAAAGCCTAACGAAGAAATGTTCGAAAATGATAAATATTTCACTTGTATTGAAAAATAAATAGAAGGTGATTATCCACAAACAATAACATTGAAAGATTTGATTAAATAATTATCTGTTTAAAATATATTGAAAAATCTTATTACTTCTGTAATTTATCAGTTTTTCATACCACGATTCACTTTTTATTTAGTGCTACCCAACGCCTTAAACTTTCACTGTTTAACACATTTCTTCAATGAGGTGTAACAGAGAAGACAGCAGCATAATTAACACAAACTTTGTGAAGAAGTGAGTTATCGAAACTTGGCTAAAACTTTTGAAATAAATAATTTACTTACCACCAACACTAAGGATTTACCATCGAGTAAAGATGTGGAAGAGAAACAAATCCCTCAGCTAAATCCAATCATTATTCAAATTCGATATGAGTATGACTCTCGCGTGATCTATTTCGATTTGGGTGACCGGGTATCATTGCTAGTACTCACAGAAGCGTTGTGGCTTAAAGTTCTTACTTACTTACTTACGCCTGTTACTCCTCGTGAAGGAGCATAGGCCGCTCATCAGCGTTCTCCATCCAACCCTGTCCTGGGCAATCCTTTCTAGCTCCGTCCAGTTGTAATTCATCGTTTTCATATCTGCTTCTATTATCCGACGCAATGTGTTCTTTGGCCTTCCTCTTTTCCGCTCTCCTTTAGGATTCAAAGTTAGGGCTTGCCTCGTGATGCAGTTTGATGATTTGTGTAATGTATGTCCTATCCATTTCCATCGTCTTTTCCTAATTTCTTCTTCAGCTGGAAACTGGTTTGTTCTCTCGCACAAAAGGCTGTTGCTGATGGTATCCGGCCAATGGATGTTGAGTATCTTGCGAAGACAGCTATTTATAAATACTTGTACTTTCTTGATTGTGGTTGTTGTAGTTCTCCAAGTTTCAGCTCCATACAGTAGAACTGCCTTGACGTTCGTATTGAAGATTCTCACTTTGATATTGGTTGAAAGTTGTTTTGAGTTCCATATGTTCTTCAATTGTAGGAATGCGACCCTTGCTTTGCTGATCCTCGCCTTTACGTCTGCATCTGAGCCTCCTTGTTCATCGATGATGCTTCCCAGATATGTGAAGGATTCTACATCTTCCAGAGTTTCGCCATCAAGAGTGATTGGATTGGTGTTTTCCGCTTTGAATTTGAGGACCTTGGTTTTCCTTTTGTGTATACTGAGGCCTACTGATGCAGAGACCGCTGCTACACTGGCTGTCTTCATCTGCATCTGTTCGTGTGTACGTGATAGGAGGGCTAGGTCATCTGCGAAGTCCAAATCGTCTAATTGATTCTGAGCTGTCCATTGTATTCCGTGTTTTCCTTCAGATGTTGAGGTCTTCATAATCCAGTCGACCACCAGGAGAAAAAGGAAGGGAGAGATTAAACAGCCTTGTCTGACTCCGGTCCTTACTTGGAATGCATCTGTCAGCTGTCCTCCATGCACTACTTTGCACTGTAGTCCGTCGTATGAGTTCCGGATTATATTGACAATCTTCTCAGGAATTCCGTAGTGTCGAAGAAGTTTCCATAACGTCCTCCTGTCTACACTGTCGAATGCCTTTTCATAATCAATGAAGTTGATGTATAGTGATGAGTTCCACTCAACTGATTGTTCGACGATGATCCGTAGTGTT